TCCCTGGTCGACTCTCGCCCACTCCAAATAACTCTATCCTCCAGGAGCGGCAAATTAGTATTACATTCTCTGGGGGATAAAAACACTGACTTGTACATCGGCTGGCCCCTGCAATTTGTTGTACAGGCCACATCGCATCCAATTGGCCGCTACGATTCTGAATGGAAGTAGAATAAGTGCTTGCTTCCAGAAGAGATTGATCAACGGCGAAGACTTCATTCTTTATTTTAGACAGTCATATCCCTGCAAACTGTAGCGCGTGTGATGTGGCCTGGATTGGAGCGCTGCCAACCAGGAAAGGTCAACAGGTCAGCCTGGCCATTTGCAACGTGGTGCACATCGTTGTACCTCGCCTTGAGACGATGAACTCAAAACTGTCTTCAAAATTTGCGGAACGGGGTTATGGAGGTCCCCCCCTGTTTTCGTCTTCAGGGCGCGTTGGCACCTGTAGCGCGACCACAAGGCTCTTCGCGCAAGCAGGTACCATATTCGTAATCAGGGGTCAAATAACCCCTATCGACGGCCTTTAGCGAAATCTGAGGTTCTGACTCAACTTCGAAAAAAGTGAGTTAGGTTAGTCATGGCTGACTGGTAGCCAACAGCGATACTACGACTAGCCTACTGTGACGAGTGGTCTTCCGGCTGAAATGGACTTCGGACATGTCATTTCGTAAAGAGTAATACCTGGTCCACCCATTCGTGCCGTCTGCATCATTTTCCTGACTACCGGGAGGAAATTCCATCCCGAGACCAGTCATCGATGGTAGGTGAGCTCCATCTGCTGCTTACCCATGGAATAGCCCACATTTTCCAAGTTAGGTCGAAATATCAGATTTGGCTAGAAACTTGTCCCAGAGGTAATTTGACCCGCTGAACATGAATATCATGGTATTTCATTGCAAAAACCCTTGTGACATGTGTTACGAGGGGGACAAGCACAAGCACTCTTTCAGGCCACAATGGGTCTACACTTTCAAAAAAAACTGATCGCAGTTTCCTTACAGGATAGTGCAGGCGAGCAGAGATGTTAGAAGCTTTGTCGGCCATGTTCTTGAAAAATGCAAAACCTAGCCGCTTCGGGAACCGATCCCACGATCTCCCAGTCTTAAGAACCCACTCGCTGCCTGTTGCGCCTTACTACAACGTATCTGCTATCCGCATATGAACAGGGACGCTTCCACGTTTCCTTCGCGATAGCATGTAAAACAACCACGCGGGATAAAACCCTCCATAACTCCGTTCAGAGAATCGTTCCGCAAATTTTGAAGGTAGATTTGAGTTCACCGTCTCAAGACGCGTACAACGTGTGCAGCTCATTGGAAATGGCCAGGCTGACCTGTTGGCCTTTCCTGGTAAGATGGCTTTTCCACCGATGGTGCCATCCATGGGATGCCACGAATAGCGGGAAGGGTGTTTTGGCTGCGATCCTACTCACGCCCCCTCACACACCCTTTTAATTGCAGGGATCAGACTATAAGGGGTCATGGTCATCCGTTTGGGAAAGTTTCAGTTAAGGGCAATAAAAGGTGGTCATTGTTTGTAAGTAGCCAATTAGCTGTTAGCTCGGCTTCTGACTGCTTCACAGTAGTAGTACAGCACCAGTTTTCTCATGCTGTAGTTTAGCAAGCTGATTCTCAGAACAAGTGCCCATTACATCGGCATCATTACGCCGTCGTGAAATTAGTGTTTTTGCAGTGTTCGTGCTTGCTTACAATCTGCCAGACCCACTTTCAGCCTCCCTAGTCTTGAAACAAATATTTTCTGACAATTCCTTTTTCTTTAAAATGAGCTGTCGATAAATCGTAGGAGGAAAACCATATCACTAAATATAATCAGGATTGAAATTGTTTGTTTTCACAACTAATGCTGGCAAGAGAAGGATGGTCGGTCGAAATGGCCGTTTAAGATGAAATTACCATCTGATGTGACATTGAACTTTTATCAGGAATCCATCTTCCATATCTGCTGCGGGCCTCTGAG